ACCCTACCACCACACAACCATTCAACCACCACCAACACTGTAACCATTCAAGCAACATCATCGCAACATACGAGGCATCACACTCCCACGCAAGCAACATTACCGCAACATACAAGCGCAACATTACAGTCACACACAAGCGCAACATTACAGTCACACACAAGCGCAACATTACAGTCACACACATCAGTGATGCACACACAACATCTGTCTCACACACACATCAGTGACACGCATATCACAGTCACATACGTAATATTACAGCTACACACGTAATATCACCGTCACAGAACACACTACCGTTTCTACCATCATCGTATCCACATTCACCAACATCATGTATCAACACTACCAACACTAAAGCCAATTTTCACCAATCTGACCCCAGGAGCACTGCAGTGACGCTCTTTTCCATCCCCCGCGCGTTTCATCCCTAGCCGCCCCTGCCCCCGCCGTCGCTCCTCAGCCCCCTCACCACGGGCGGGGAGAACCCAGACTGAAAGCCGGCGCGACGCCGCCGCCCGCAGGCCGGCCGACACACGCGTGATCGCACGCAGGTAGGGGCCGTAAGTGGCTTAGAGGACGCGTGCTACAGAAGTTCGTCGCTGCTTCTCAGTCGTAACCCCCCTGCCCCGAGTCGGGCGTTGCTAAGTAATTATTCACAATCCGTCGGTTTCTGGACCTTGATGTTCCGTGGACCGTATTGTATCCTAGAATACAGCGGCCGCGAGGTAGTGTTATGTGAAGCTTGCTGTTTGGTTCGTATACGCAGTGTGTCGGCAAATCGCATTTGTGAATTAGAATGAAAGGGCTAGGGGAACTAAAATGGTTCAAACATGAAGTGAGCTTTCCCCTGTGATCTTTTATTTGTTCCAACTAATTCGCCGTGTTTAGAAGACCATTATCGCCTCATATAGCACGGGATAAATCTGACAGATTTGGAAGAATAAAATTACTCATGTAAATAAATAAGAAGGCAATAAATAACTCAAACAAGGGAATTAGCTGACATGAACTCCCTCGTAACAAAATTATTGCGATATGCATGAAGAACAAACGATAGTTGTTTTTAAGGCAGAATTTTACTAACGAACATCCTAAAATAAAATGTTTGTTCATAAACTATTCAAACATTACTTTAAAAAGTGATTTTGGAGACTTTTTGTTTTTGAATCTACTATTTTTGTAACCAATTCGATTCGGATATGAAGTCTTCTCTTACCATTGCATTGTATCTTAAATTACTAGACACTAGGGAAGCTTGTTGAATTAAACTCTGTTTCATAATCTACAAATCAGATTTTGTGGGCCATGGATGAAAAGTAATATGAAGGAAGTTAATATGATTAATGAATTGACTACTATATCAATGTCAACTAGTTGTGCTGAACAGTATGTATGTAAGAGATTTTTTATCTCCACAAACCGAACTTTACTCAACCGGCATATACTACCACACTGTCTACCTAACCATAAATTCATAATTCATTCTGATTTACTGTGGATTTAATCATTTGCATTACAACACTTTCACGATGCGCTTAAAATAATTACTATATTAATATCTTTCTCAGCAAACTCAACCTATACGATATACGATATATTTGAATGCATTAGGGGTTGTAACAATCTTCCATTTGAGAGACAAATTTTCGACACAGTAAAAATATCAGAGCTAATTGCATTTGTAATTCACATCTGAATTGGAATATTTTAATTAAACTCGTTTTAAAAAAAAATCTTCCTTCGTTTCGTATTATAATATTCATCTACACTCACAAAAAACTGTCTTTTATAAAAAAAACTAATTTGTAATTCACTACAAGTCATTGGTGTCTAGAAGATAACGCAACTACAATATTCATTTTACTGCATTTCTATCACGAGCTATTTATCCGAAAACGAACTGAGTTTTAAAGTCGTACCTAGTTCACAGGCAAGACGACATTCTAGCATAACACGCCTTTGAAAGTGACACGCGCTGCCGCTGCAAACCGCGTGGGTGAGCGCATCGATTCAGTAAGCGCTTCCCCGCTTGCAAATGCCTCGCGCCGCGGCCCGCGTGCCTGCGCGTTATCCCTCCCCCTCCCTCCCTCCGTTTCCTTCGGCCGCCGCTGCCGTCGTCTCAGGCCCCATCGCGCGACGTAAATAATTCAAGGGTCCCAGGGGGCTTCGGGGCTCAAAGTGGTCAATAGGCCGTTGCAGAGGCGTCGGTGTATGCGTGGGCGTGAGCGGGGGCGGGGGCGGGCAGCGCACTGTGCTTTCCAGCCCTGGGAGCGGGGAAGCGAGAGATGATCAGCGTGAATGCGCCGTTTAGCTCTCGGATTCGAACCCCGGACATGGCGCATAGGGCGGGACGGACGGGCCGTGCCCGGCCTGGTACAGCAGTGTGTGTGTTTGGGAGAAGAAAGCAAAGCGGGCGTTGCAGGATCAGGGGGGTGCGGCGCGCCGGGTCAACGAAGTGGCCGAGGTGGTTGGGGTGGGCGAGAACGCGCGTGGCTGTCGGAGCGGGGCGGCGGGGCGCGGGGCGGCGGGCGGGCGGGGCGGGAGGCGGGTTGGAGCGGGGCGGGGCGGGCATGAGCGGGCCGGGCGGGGTGATTTGTGGAGGGGTCGGGCCTCTGCCGTGGTGCTTTGACGGTTAGACGGGA